AACCCTAGAATTGAGGTGGGGAAAGAGAATTGGAAAAGGTGGGTGGTGGGATAGAGTGGTAGAGTGATTGGTGTGGTGTGGGGTAGGTGAGAGTAAAAAGAATCTGGGATAGTTGTAGAAGTATGCAACAGTGGGAGTGAATCGAGGGTGAAGGAGGGGGGAAAAAGGAAAATGGAAAATAGAAAAAGAGGGTTTTGGGTAATCAATTATGGTTGTTGTTGTTGTTGATGTTGATGATGATGTGGGTTGACAGGGTGGAGAGATGAAGGGGGAGAGTGAGACTCTTTCATTCCAATCTGAATGAAATTGAAAACGAAGAGGAACAACGGCGAGAAAGAGAATAAAAAAGGAAAAGTTGAGGCTGCCTTGGTTTTCGACATTTCTCACTTCTCAACCCAACCGGACACCCTCAGATGCTGCTCGCCCCGGTCCCACACACTTCCCCCTTTCTTTTCTCTTTCTATTTTAATGTTTTCCAGACTTTTTTTTTATTTTTATTTTTTATAAAAACATTTTAAAACTATTTTTTTTATATCATAAATATAAGAATGAATAAGATCATTAGATCAACAACATATTCCACTTAACACTTATTTTTATTAATAAAAAATTATTAAATATAAGAGAGTCATTAATTAAGATGTCGAACTCACTAAATTATATATTTTTCAATAAACTTCAATGAATTAAAATAAAGAGTATGACAGAAAATATATTATTAGTATGTCTCATATAATAGTCTATATCTTTTTTTTTTCTTTTCAGTCCATCTTGTAAAAATAAAGTGATACTTCAAATTATAATTTCATGTTCAAATTATGAATAGAACTTAATCTTTAATTAAGAAGCATAAAGACTAAACAACTTTGATGACAAGTATATATAAAATATATTTAAAATAATAGATTAAACAATATTAATATCATTTTCATGTATACAAGATTATTAATAAAATTTTGGATTAGCATTTTTGTTAGTTAAACATATTTGTTAAAAAAATATATTTAAATTTTGTTATAATTATTTAATTTGTGATATTAATTAAATAATATGACTTGCCACATTAGTATAATCTCTTGTCACAATTATATTTATTCATTTACAATTCTTGAATTTAAAATCTTGTTTAAAATAAAGGATTCAATTTTACTTGGATTAACTATTTAGTGTATGTTTGAAAATAATTCAACACTCACTGAATGAACCTCTACCACTTTTCAATACAAAAAACTAAAACAAGTATAGTATTGTATTTCAATTACCATCAACCTAACTACAATGCGTATACATCATTATTGTTTTAATTTTAACAGTAATTTTAGTCTTTGGATTTTGACTTATAGTTTCTTTAATCTATAATAAAAAGAATTATTTTATTTGGTGTCTATTTTTTTCTTTCACATTTTACACTCAATAATTACAAGTAACTTCTTATGATTATACAATTTACACCAATAACAAAATGGATTATCTCATTTAATGTCCATGTTTCTCACTTGAAGATATTTATTGTTTTCTCTTTGTTTTTAACAAAAGCTGGTAGTGTCTTTCTTTTCATTAATTTTTATAATGAATATATTTTAATAAATTTATAATTATTCAAATATTTTATCTAACAATTAAAAAAATATAACATCTTTATGATATATTACTAATTTATATAAACTTGCAAACTAAAATCTTAAAATTTACAGAAAATTTATATTTTTTAATTTTTTATAAGATAATGATATTTTACACTTTTATTATTTTTTTATCAATTATTATTTTAAACTTTGAAATGAAAAAACAATTGATTTTTAAAATTATGAAAACTAAATATATATTTATATTATATTTTTTATTTATAAAATTATGATAACAATAACATTTATTATAAACTTTAATACTTATGTGATATAATATAAAGGAACTTCAAATTTTATTTTTAAAGGATTAGATAAAAAAAAAACACTTAAATTTTATTAAAATCGTGATGGTATCATATTAGTTAACATTTGTTTTGTATTTATCCATTGAAAAAAAGCGCACGCGGTTGTGACACGGATTGATGGAATGCTGTATCTCCGTAGAAACTGTTGGTGACTTGTGAGCAAAGCTTTCTTGCACTAACGAACTTATGAAAGTCCGTTTAATTATTTGGACAAAAAATAAATAAATAAAGACACTTTTAAATCCACAATTATCCAAAATCCGAGTTACATAAAATTTAACCAAACACAAGGCTCAATTAAGTGTGTATAGATATGATAAGTAATCTTTTACTTGTAAATAATATCTAAATCTATTTTGATTTTTATAAAAAATATTTAACTTGATCAAATATAAATACGCATATAAATAATATCTGATTTATTAAATCAGATATAAAAACAGGATGGATATATAGATATTTATTTCATATTTATATACATTTTAAATTTTTTAAAATTTAATTTAATTTTTAAAAAATTACTTAATATTTATATAATTATTATTTTATTTTAAATTTATGTTAAATAAAATTAAATAAAATTTAAATAATATAATTTTATAATTATTATTCTATGTTAAAATTATTATTATTTGATAATTAAAAAAATATTTTATTAATTTTTAGGCATATATGATTATATTTAATATCTAACATAGATAAAAATGTGAACATGAATTTTATACCTGTTAAATATGAAAATAAAAACAAGTATAGAGTACAAGAACAATAATGAGATATAATGAAACACATATCCACTTTATTTTCATCCCTGATTAAAAGTAAATTTACATAAATTGAATTAGTGTCTCATTCTTATGTGAGAACACATACCAAATTGTATTTTGAATAACACTTTTATAATAAAAAAATAGACAATTAAAAAAGTAATTTCAAAATTTTTACATTTGAAAATGTGTTAATAAATCTAAAGTTATTACTTAATAAAATATTTAATAACAAAAAATAAGTTAAATTATAAAATCTATTATATGAGGGTTTTTTATTGCAACTTGTACCAATGAGTTAAACTCACTTTTACGTCATTTAATATTTTAATTCAATAATTTTACCCCCAAAATATATTTATTAGATCAAAAGTTTGATTTATATATTATATTTTATAATTTTTTATACTTTTTAAAATATTTAATATTTTATATTTTATATGATTATTTAATTTAATTATAATTATCATATATATATATAATGATATTTCTTTAAAGATTGTCCTTATACCCATCAGATTTGAGTACAGATAGGAATTGTCACTAGAACAATAATGTCTTGCTCTTTTATTGAGAATTTGGTCAACTTTATACTTACAAGTAATGACATCATCTGGTTCATATATTAGTAAGCATAATGTTAACACTTGAATGTTATGTTCAATAATCAAAACTTACACACCTTATGTTTATAGTATGGTTAGATCTACAATATAGGAATGCATTTGTAACGACCCAGCTGGTCACTACACACCGCACAACACACTAGAAACACCACACAGAAAGGAACAAGTGTATACATATAGGGTCTAGAATATATACATATACATGATCCAAGTCTGGATAGAGTTAAAGTGTACAAAATACAACAAGAGGCTACTACACTAAGTAGCTAAACATCAAAAGATCCTAGAAGATCAACTCCGTCTGCCAGCTATAGACTCACCATCAGCCACCAACCTATCCCTGCTCTGCTCCCATAGATAGTATGATCATCGCAGTCCAAACCACATGGAGACAACAAAGGGTAAGCTAGTGAAAAGAATCAGCATACATATGTGAAATATGAAGGATAAACAATTACAGCTATCAACACATCGATTCAGCTTAAAATACACCACAGCATTCAGCAATATCAGCACCGCAAAGCAGCAATATCAGCACTGCATAGCAACAATAACAGCACCACACTAGTAGCTATAACAGCACCACATAATGGCAATAACAGCACCGCCTTAGCGGCTATAACAACACCACAATAGTGGCTAATAACAGCACCGACATAGCGACTAGAAACAGCACAACAATAGTGGTCATACACAGCATACAGCTCAGCATTATACAGCACAACCAAACAGCTCACAGCACAGCACAGCAAATCAGCATACAACACGACTAAGTAGTATTCAACACAGCTTACTACTCACAACTCAGCTCATCATTCTAGAGCACATCAATATTATAAATCAGCATTTAAAATCATCAATAACAGCCCAGCTCAGCACAACAATATACATCTATTACAGCTTAACATCATCTTTCAGCATTAACATATAGTCAGCACAACATATTCATCAATTTCAGCTTAATTCAGCATAAAACAACATCTATCAACAATTTCAGCAAGGTTTAACAACTATCAACATCTAAATCATCATCATACGCGCCCGGTGCACTCATGGTCGCGCTTGGCGTGGCACAACCAGAGAGCACCAGGGGCCATCGCGCCTGGCACAAGAATACTCGTGCCCGGCGTGACCCAACCAGAGAGCCCAAGGCTCTCACGCACCCGGCGCAATTCAGCTTTGCGCCCAGCGCATGCCCAGGCAGAGACTCCAAGGAGTCTCACGCGCCCAGCGTGGCCTAACCCGCGCCCAGCGTG